AGGAGCAGCTCCAGAGGAAGCACGAGGAGTTGCAGCAGATGATCGTCAGGCAACAGGAGGAACTGCGCCAGGTCAAAGAGCAGTTGATGCTCGCCAGGCTTGGGATACTGCAGCCAATCGCTAATGTAGGTAACATTTTACTATCTGTTTTTTGCGACTACGCCCGTGTGAAATTAAAAAAATATTAAACATAGCCTATGTTACTCAGCGATAACATAGCTTTGCATAATGCAAGAATTTTACAAATCACTCCAGTCGTTTTAGACTTATTTCAATAGATATGCATATTTGCCGTACGTTTCTAATATGACTAGGGAAATTGTAGACTAGACTGGATTTAGTTCCCAGCCTTATTGCAGCACCATAGAAAATGACATCGAATAAAGTATCACTTTTAGAAAGTGTCAATTTTTTTTTAATGAACACGTATTTAAGAAGTTACCGTGTTATTACAACTTAGCTGATCAACTTAGAATAGCAAGGTGATGATTACACCTATCATTTCATTATTTATTTATATTAATATCAACCATGGTGTAGCCCACGGCATTAGTTGCCGCAAAGAGTATTTCCACGTTTCGAGTCTGTTTCTCAGTTCAATAGTCTGAATGTTCACGCACTTGTATTACTAATTAATTGTTTTAGTTGTCTTTTATTCAAAATATTTCCCTGGGGTTCGAATAGGTAGGGGAAATATTACCTTTCTGTATGTCTTTTGTTGATTAAATGTAGACAGTTTAACAGTGGTAGTGCCCGCTTTAACATGTTAGCAGTGCAGGCCGGCACGCCCCGCTAATACCACGACCACACAGAAGACAGCCTTCAAATGGAAGCAATTCCGTGTACAGTCTGATGAGTGTGGTGCCGGAGGCCCAATTTAAGTCCCTTTCTCTTTACCACCCTTTTCTTATAAAGAAAGGTTGGGAAGGGGAAGTGGGTTTGACGGTGGAGGAGATGCATAGGAAAGGGAAATATACTCTTTATGTGCGTCTCCTCCTCCGTCGTTTAAGGGTAGGCAACGCATCTGCAATTGCGGATATCTATGGGCAGCGGTCGCTTCTCCATTTTGGCGGATTCTAGTGGCCGCTTGCTCGTGTGCCACCTTATGATGTAAAAAAAAAGACAGAAATCTCGATGGCCTCTACTATCGGGACTTAATAAAAAAATGAAATAGTACTTGTAGCAAAAATCCCGTTAGGTGTATATTTTATGTGAAATTATTACATTTCAGGTGCCAAATCCGTACAATTCCGCCGACAACCGCGAGCAAAACCAGCGTGTGCCGCCGCAAATATTGTTCGAAGATTCTCAAAATCGTGGCCCGGAGTACCAACAACCGCCTACCTCAACTGGTCATCAACATGACATGCCTTAGATATGAACTGGAACACTTATTATTTTCTCGTCTATATGCTTATAATGTGGGTTTCCATTGAAATATTTGTATGAAATCGTATAAATCCAACATGCCTAAGAACTGTAACACTTATTATTTCCTTAATATGCTTGTAATGCGGGTTTCCATTGTCGAAATTTTTGTATAAAATTGTATAAACACTGTCTTTATAAAAAAGACAGTATGTCTATTTTTTCACTGTTTGTTTTATTAAGGTAAATGTCAAGCTCAGTTTCAGTTGTTTTTTTACCGCGAGGATACAACTTCAGCATTAAAAATACAATTATTTCTACAATGGATTTTCAGGGTTATTCTTCGCACATTCATGAAATATTGATTATTTTCATATAACATACAGGTTTTAATATATTTTATAATCTATGATCGAGTACGGGTTCTCTATGGTTCAAAGGAATATGGAAATGTATCAGAATAATAAATAATTTAATTACAAGCAACATGAACGGTCTGTTTGAAGAAAGTCGGAATAGTACAAAGAACGTAAAAATATTAATAATAAATATGCTCTTGTGGAATCTGAGGTACCATATTACCAATATCAGCCTACACCAGTTCTGGAAAATAGCCGTATCACGATCTACTGGGACCGATCTATTATTACGGACAGGACTATTGCTGCCAATAGACCTGATATAGTAATAATAGATCGGTCTGAGAGTTGTGTAATGTTAGTCGATGTCACTATCCCACATGACGAGAATCTCGTGAAAGCCGAAAATGAAAAGCTATTAAAATATTTGGATTTGGCTCACGAGATTACCGCCATGTGGCGTATGAAATCGACTACCATTATTCCGATAGTCGTTTCGGCACACGGGCTGATAGCGAAGAGCTTCGACCAACACCTCAAGAAGCTCTCGCTAGACAGTTGGATTAAGGGCCCGATTCAAAAGGCGGTTATTTTAGAAACCGCACGACTAGTGAGGAGGTTCCTGTCTCTGCAGCCCTGACCACTGGTTGCTTGAGTCATCGGATTCCGCAGCCGGTGGACTTACTATTTTTTTATATAATATGTTTTATTTTGTTATTTTTTTAAGAAAATCATGTGAAATGTATTATATATAAAAATAAGAGAATAAAGATATGAAGATATTAATAATAAAAACATTCTGTTTATTTCGGTCAACGCCGTTAATAAAATTAATAGCGGAAATAAATAATGGAAAATTAAATTGTTTAAGTTTATTTTTGGTCAAAATAATTTGATTACATTAACATTAATGGCGGATGTGACGTACATTGTCAATAAAACAAGAAAACCTGTGCTCGTAAATTGATAATGCTACACGGTTTAAAAATATCGATCGTATAATTTTAATAAAATTAACAAAGGGGATATAAGTGCAAATAGCGTATTTATTTTCAGATTTCTTTAATAAGCAGACAGTAGAGTCTTTACTATTGATATACTTCGTATCTAGGTGGCCATCGATTGCTTAATTTTTCATAATTTTGCTATAATTTGGGTTGGCACGCCGGGAACGAGACTACAAGTCAGTCCGGCGTGCCAACTTAAACACATTGTTGAGTCCAACGCCATCATGATCCACTCTTGAAGTTTAAGTTTTAATTATTTGAAAGTCTATTTAGTAACATACTTACCTCTAACACTAAATATACTTTAATTATTTTTTAAGCTTGCCATATTTAACTCAAAAACTTTGCAGAGTGATAACAAACTTGTTCTTCCATTACTGTGTTATTTCTCATGAATAATAAACTAATATTTTTTTTTTGTTAATACTTTATCGTTTTAACATTTAATTTTATTAGTAATATATATTATATTATATTAATGAAATAAAATGTTGCTCGATACTAAATTTTTTATATCAATTTGTTAATCATGTTATGAATTCTTTATATTTTTAATGCTGTTTTATTTGTAGTTAAGTAACCATTTGAATTAATCAAAATCTAAGCTTAAGTTTAAAGTAAGTTGCTTTTGATGATGTTTAATCGTTCAATTAATTGATTTTTACAGTTTCTATTAAATATATATATATGGGGACTAATTACATGTGAATTGAAGACATTGTAAAAATACACTTGTTTAAAACCATGAAACCAAAGACGTTATGTTTTTTTTATCATTTTCATATAAATATTAAACGAAAACTACGAAATAAATTCTTTATCATACTATTTATTACATTTAATCATAGGTAACTATTTTATTACAATAATATTAACGATGAAAAATATTTGAACTTCTCTACATACGTGTATGTGAGGTTTTATTCCCGTAAAAATATACAATATACTTGAATTGCTTTAAAAGTACAAATTGTTATTTGCTTTTATTTTTCTATATTGTGTTTTTAGAACAAACTAAATCTGGTATATAGTGCCAAAAAACACCTGTATTTCTAATATGTAAATATTAAAAAAAAAAACAGTATACAAATTAATGTCAGTACAAATTATTGAATTGCCCGATCTTGCTTTTTTCAACCAATTTAGTTATAAAAGTTAACTAAAATACATTGTTGATAAACTTAATTGTATTGATTTTTTAATTAACTTTTTTTAGTTGTTTGAAATGTTATTTAGATAACTATTAAAATACAAATTCAAGAATAAACATTATTGTTCGCTCTCTTTCCAAACAGTTTTATTTTTAAACAAATTAATTTGTAATATCTTTTAATAAAGATTTAATATTTTAGAGACAAATTTTAAAAATAATCTCAATAATCGGCTGTGTTTATATTTTATTGTTTATAATTAATATAATTATTGAAGAAAAAAAAATAATTAAACAAAATTATTTTCTATCGACCATGAGCTTGTTAAATTGCTTTTTTAAATAAGTTCTCAATGTTTTTAAAGAAAAAAAATGCGTTACACATTATTGTTAAATTGATTTATAAAGTTAAAATATTACTAACGTAAAGACAATATGTGAAAAATTATAATAATCTTCATATGATCTCAGTTTTGAGATAAATCGGTTAGTAGAATCGAAGGTAATTTCAAACTTGTTTAAGATTATTTCAACCATCCGAGTCCTTAAGCGACTTTTAATGTCTACTTAGAGACTGCGCGTACAAGGCTTGGTTGTGAGTGTACCATTCGTACAGGCGCTATTCTCAGCCTAATGTCTACTTTTAAATATTATCCAATTTAATATTCTATATTATAAATGTACGTAATTATATGGGAACAGAATCAATAATATTATTAAGCGTGTAACAGTTTCGTGAGAAATATCAGAAAGCATTAAAATATACACGAAACCATCTTTATATAAATAAGTAGCTGTGATTTGTGGTTTTGTCTGCGTAAATAAAAATAATAAAAATGTAACGTAGCTTTTTAATGGTGAAACAATTTTCTAAACACGCCGAGTAATTATGTCATTTCAATATATATAAATATACAAATCTTTCCTCTTTGTAATATTACTATAGATGTTACTGGCTTTGTTTCCATACGCGGTAATTAGATTTAATATATTTTATATAGAGATATTATGTCATAAATGTAAATTAGTTTTATGGTAACTGTAGACATAAAGCCATTTAAGGAATCATAGATTCGTAGATATTTTAGCCCGAGGTTTCCTCAAAGACAATATAGAATATAAGTACGTAAACGTTATATATGATAGTGTACGTAAAAACCAAAGTCGGCTTATTTGTGTTGTAGGTTTTCAAATACTTTATGCGGCCATGAAAATTTATGAGAATGTATCGTGTCTTTCATGAAGGTATGAGAATTGTACTACAAATTGAGACGATGACGTTACGCCTTTCTCACAAATTTTCATGTTAACCTCTGTAGTCGGAAACTTTTGTACAAAAACCTATTGTCGTCTCTTTCCTTCTCTTTGATAAAAGAGATAACAATATGTTTCGGTACGGATGTTTTGAAACCTTGCGGTTATAATATAGATTGTATATTGTTTTTCTCTTACGCACATATAATCAATATCGTAGTTCTCTTGTTAATGTATAGAAACATAGTGCCGTCTATATCTTGTTTCGATCGTTTTAATTACATATATTTATATATATATTTGATGCATTCGCTTTAAATGATTTATGTAAACTCTTATATAACAAAAGATGGTGTGTTCTGTTCTTAAAGAAAAATAGCTAATTGAACTTGAGAAAAATTAGGCAATTTTAAGACTAATATAAATCATTACTTGTATAAAATTATTCGTCTCTCTGCTAGTGCTAGCACTCAGAGATATTGAGTTACATCGAGAAACATTTGATTGTTACTGCTGTCATTTAGTATGACTATGAGTGTGGTAGTCAACAATAACAATATAAGAATAGAACATTAATATTTGGAGTATTTTAATTTGTATTAGATCACTAAAACTGGACAACTTGTCAGTTTTTTTTAATACAGGGTAAAGACAAAACGGTTTAGGAATTCCTGAGAATCATGACTTCACCTGTAATATGCATTTTGAATCATTATACTGTAAATAAAATATACTATTATAAGTTTGTTTTGATTTATATAAAATTTATTCTACAATTTAGTGGCACATGTGTTTCTTAATTAATTGAAATAAATGTATTCAAAAATTGGAGTTTCATTTGCATACTTTAGGCCATTTAAAAATAATGCTTCATGTCATTTGTTGACCTTTGCACATTCGCCAGTAGTATCCTTTTAAATTTAGTAGTTCCGTGTGAGATCCACGCTCGATGATTTTACCTAAAAATATATATATGTTAATTGTCAGATTCCACTGGTAAAACATCTATATAAATGTTATCAATACGTTTTCTTTGTCTTCTGCAATAAGTGAAGAGAACAAAACGTTTTCGTACGAAAATGTACATTTAGGCAGTGAAATTCCATGGTAAATTATAGTATTGCAAAAAGGTCTAATAAAATCAGGCTGCCATCGTGTAATTAAATGGATCGAATAGTCAATTTTGGTAAGATGTCTGAAAGAACCTGTGAGATTAAACAATCTTACTGATATCATAAATGTAAAAGTTTAGATGGATGGATGTTTCTTAGAGTTTGTAGCTAACGGTAGAACGGATCTTGATGAAATTTGACATAGACGTAGAGGATAGTCTGGAAGAACACATAAGTTACTGCTTTTTTTTTTATTCCATGCGGATGGAGTCGCGTGCGAAATCTAGTACACAATAAACCTTTGAAACGAATCCGTCATTATTCGACGTTTACCTTTGTCTAAAACACAGATGAGGTCGGAATCCTTTATTGTAGAAAGGCGATGCGCAATTGTTATACACGTACGCCCTTTGGCAGCTTTGTCTAATGCTTCAGACACCGCCTGAAATTAAAAAAAATAGATATTGTGGTAGTACTATCACCACGTAAGTCACTTTTTGGCTATTTGATGCCATTTGCTAAATAATCAGAATACGCATCGTTTCCGCCTATCGGAAACACGTATTTTACATTAAATATAACTCAAATTAAGTTTACACAGCTATTATGCAGTTTTTTCTCTCCTAAAAAGTTTCTTTTTGACTTCCGTGGTGTTAGAACTACAATGACGATATTTTCAAAGAAAGTGATGTGATGACGTCAGGTAATATCGAGCTAGTGTAAGTGAAAATAGACGTTAAATTTGATTCTATGAAAAAGGACTGGGTTTATATTTAGGTCGTCGTGTAACTTTAAGATTAGAAGACAGCGATCTTGCGTCAATAAGGTATTTGTCCATGTTAGATACAAATATTCACCTTTTCGCTGTTAGCGTCCAGCGCGGAAGTTGCCTCGTCCAGCAATAAAAGTCGCGGCGACCGTATAAGTGCCCTCGCGATACACACTCGTTGCTTCTGTCCTCCGGACAACTGGGCGCCGCTAGAGCCAAGGTTTGTGTCATAGCCCTACAAACATTATTTACATACATTAAATTGACAAAACACGATGAGACGAAGATTCATATGAGATTTATTTCAATTAAAATGACTCCTGATCCCAAATTTCAACTGTCGTAGCATATGAAAAAAAAAATAAAAAAACATATTACCAACTTATTTTATGAGCAATACCAAAAAATATGGCTAGAAAGAAGTTAATTGTTACCTTGGGTAGAGAAACGATGAAGCTGTGTATATTAGCAGCTTTAGCAGCGCTTATAATCTCGTGCATCGATACTTTACGATTATTGTCACCGTAAGCGATATTCTCCGCTAAGGTGCGATCAAACAACACTGGTTCTTGCTGTACTACGCCCAACTGACGCCGGAGACGCGGCAGTGTTAGGGACATACGGATATCACGGTTGTCCAATTCCTATAAACAACCAAACCAATTAATTAAATCATACTAAACTGTATCGTTTAATTTTTTGTAAACCAATAGGTGTACCAATACATCCAAATTTTGTATCTTATACACAACTTTATGTAATTCAGATATATTCATTGTTTTTTCTAATACTTCAATACGTCGGCATGCTTAGGGAAGGCAAGCGGGAAGACAGACACAAGACGTTTGTATCTGGTCGCTTAAAAGACTGGGTTAACAAAACAAGGCCTAGTTTACCATATCTGTTCTTACTTAAAGGCTGGCAGTTCCAAAATACGACTGCTTCTTTTTATGATATTCTACCGTTGTGCTTAATCTTAAGATTTACTTAATATATTAAGTAAACAATAAATGAAAAGGCATTGTAAGTACTTAATGTTATTAATCTCCGTCAAAATTTAATAAATAGAATTAAATTACACTTAAACATCTTGAACGAGCTTTACCAAAAGTCGGTTATATTAAACATCTTCAGAACTAGTTAATGTGTTACTTTTCTGCGTTAATCTCAACCGAATTTAGATAAATCACTGTAAATCGTAAATATTAATCAGGGCACCGAGGGCCACTTCTTCGTGCAGCGTCCTCGTCTTGTTTCTGTATTCTTATTTCCCTTTCTCTCAATCTCCGTTCTCTTTCAAACTCCTTCATCCTCACGATATAGTCGTCATGTTCGCAGCAGAGGTAAGCATGTCTCTCGTGATGACACAAATGAACGAATGGAAAGTTTTTATATCTACAGACTTGATAATTCAAAAGACAATGAGCGCAATAATCTCGATACTTCGGGGGAATACGCGCGGACACCAAATGTTCCTCTTTAGCTATCATAACTCGTTTAGCTCGCCTGAATTTAAAACCGGAGTTGGAATCAAACGTTGGTTTATCGTCTTGATTTAGGTTTAGATGCCACGTCTTCATCGTGCCGAAGATTTGACCCATTTTTTATACGTAACGTACACAAAACTATAAAATGTGAAATAATTAAGAATGAAACTTCAAAAGGGAAATGTACATATTCCGCAAATTATTGCTTCGTTGTCACAATTGACATTATCATTTTTTTCTTATCGTGTACATCAATTGTCAATATGATTTAAAAAGTTTCATTAATCAGTAGTTAAAAAATAATCAACAAAAATATTTTTTAGGTACTTACAATATTACCAGAATCGGGATCGTAGAAACGTTGCAACAATTGTAAAATCGTAGATTTACCGCAACCAGACGATCCAACTAATGCTACTGTTTTACCCGCTTCGACCTTAAGGTCTATGCCTTTAAGAATCTGTTGATGGGGTCTAGTCGGGTAGCTGAACTCCACATCTTTGATGGCAAAGTTACCAGTTGCAGTCTAGAAATAGATATATCACAATAAAATGTTAACAGGGATGTTTAGTAGTGTACTAAATTAATCAAAAGACGCGGATCGTTTCAGACATGACACTATAGTAAGCTAGCGTTAAGGTAGTATAACAAGGTTAGTTCATACATTAGTAAAATAAATATCTTTACCCAATCTCGCCTATCCTTCAAACCATCTTCTGTTTTCACTTTAGGTTGTCTATTTATGATCGATAGTATCCTCGCACCGCATGCTTTGGCCGAATTGAAACTAGGAGCATACACTAGAGATTGTCCCAACATGTAAGCCCCGTACATTAGCGCTTCATTTACCCTGTTAATAAAGATTATATAGAATTATATGCTACTTAACATATTAAAGAAAACTTTTGATTGTACATAGTAGACGATAAGGTAACAGTAGTACGTAATAGGATAATTTCACAAATAACTTCAGCACTTACAGCAGTACTATTTTGTACTCAAGTCCCTCGTATGCGACGAGAACAGCGCCGTATACTGTCGCACTACAGTACGACATAAAAGGCACGTACACGCCCAGACCGAGTACCAACCCACGCCATCTGGTCTTCTTGGTCATAGCAGCGCCGGCTTCTACTAATGCCTCTTCGAATCTTTTCAAGAATGTTTTTTCCACGCCTGAAAACACAGTTCTTAGCAACCTTCTTGGTTCTACGAACAGCTGGGTTTTATATTGCATTGTTTACTAATTTTGTGCTTTGCGTTTGTAGAACTTTTGAGTTTGTAAGTACTGTGACTCGGATCAGTTTTGACATGAACAAAGCCCAACCTAGTTCCTTCATTTTATTACATCCATCACACATCTAAGCGATTCTATTAGAAATAGTTGTATCTTCTATATTTTATCATAAAAAATAACTAACCTAAACTCTGGACCGTTTTAATGCTGACAACAGCTTCAGTTGCTATCGCAGTTGCAGACTCCATTGCTGCTCGCTCGTCTGTTTGTGACTTCTGTGATACAATTCCTTCTAGCCAGATACTTCCCACCATCTATTACAACAAAGAACTTTTATCTTAAGCTTACTAAATATATATTATACTAACATTATAAAGAACAAAAATTTGTATTTTTGTATGTAATTATTTCACTTAAAAACTACTGGGGCGATTTTAAAAATTTATTTCATCATTAGAAAGGTAATTTATCTGTGAGTAACATAGGATATATTTTTTAATTTCACCCGGATCAAGTCGCAAGCAACAGTTAGAATACCATAAACGACAAATAAAGTACAAAACAGGAAATAGAAAATTTAATTCGAAGGAACAGATAATTTTGGTAATTCCAGAATGTAGTGTGTACTGAATTGTTGAAAATAAACCTGCTGAAACACTTACAAGTGGTAAGAACGCAGTGCCAACTAGAGTTAGCTTCCAGTTGTAACAGATAGCCATTATGAAGCCGACTACAACAGAGCTGGTGCCTTGTAGAATAAGTCCTATTCTTAATCCAGTAGCTCCTTGCACTTCCGCCGCATCGCCACTCAGCCTCGCGCACATTGCCCCAACAGTATTCTTCTCTTTGTCAAAAAACCCAATTTCCTAGAACATTGCAGTTAGTTGTTAAATATAATCTGTAGGACAAGTTTTCTTAGGCTTTTCCCGCTCTTTTCATGGATAAAATTTTTCTCCCCTCAGTCTGAACAGATTCCTCATATTGCACAACCATGACATTTTAAAGAACGATTACAAGTGAAATTTTACGATGAAAAAAACTAACCTGTTTTAATATAGCAGAAAAATATTGATGTCTCAATCTCGTCGTCATCTTTAATCCTGCATGAGTAAACGTTGCACTCTGTAGGAACATTGAGACGCCAGCCACGGCCGCCACTACCACAAACATGCCTGAATAGAAGTCTGCTAGGTAAATGATCTCACTGTGATCTTTTAGAACAAATATCTGAAAACAAATATTAACTTAAGGATTACATTCGACTGACAAGATCTTTACATACTTCTGCATCAATACATGAGCACGCTTCTAAATTTAAATTTTAAAATAAGAATACGTTTTATTCTCATTCGCAATCAAATGTTTTTTATCTGTTTCCATAGCAACCATTATGATTAATAGGACTATGAGTTCTACATTCCGTAATACTGTAAATGATACTTACGCCACCGGTGTATCCAAATAATAGTGCAAATATTGGGAAACAAGCGCCTTGAATAAACGCAGCGATTGAACCGACGACAATATACGGCCATTCAGATCCGTTGAGTTTCAAAAGATCCCAGTCACTGACGGGTTTGATTTCCTAAAGAAAAAAAGTAAAAATTATACCAATTTTATAACGACAGTTTGTATTTTTTTATCTTTTAACCCAGTTGATAAATAATGCAAGTTAAATTACACCGTTGTGAGTTCTGCCTTTACTCAGAGTCGTGAATGAGTTAGATTTCTCATAAAATCAACAGTGATCGAGCTCTTAACGTCAACTAACCAGGTAGATATGAAAAATTAGAACATTAAATACCGGGAACTTACTTCATCATCGTCATTATCTCCCTCATCTTCAGATTCGTAATCACTGTTGAACACCATGTTATGCTGACCCATCGATATGACAGAACTTATCGAACCACGGGGCGTCATCCAATCGTGAGATTCTGTTAAAGTACCAATTAATAATTCAATGATTATTGAACAACTTTTGTGTCAAAAAACAAAACTAGGAAATCAAAAAATTCTAACGCTATTTTTTTATAAATTTCACAAAATTAAAAGATATTTTATTTTAGCCGTAACTAGGAAACGAGGTTAATTTTAATAGAGTTTTTACAATGTTTTTTTTTTTTATCTTATGCTAGTGAATATTAATGCGTTTTACATTAACCGATTAAGTGTCATACAACTATTATCAATATGTTATAATAGTAATGTTCTAAAGATATGTGTTTTGGATTTTCTATAACATACAAAACCTCAAAAATGCTATCACTATTGTAAGAAGATCGCAGACGGACTTCGTCGGTAACATAGGACTGCAGCTTTCCCTTCTCGGCCGAAGACGAAGAGGCAGATTTAAAACAAGATGGTAAGATGTGATGCTAAGAGACAAGTGCGAGTGTCAAGATTTGGATCAGGGTGTCGTAGATACAACGAAGTGCAGGAGATCAATCAATAAAGCTGAACCCACTACCTTTCGGGATACAAGCCCGGATAAGAGAGACATACTATTAAAATATTAAATTAATGTTATTAAGTGAATACCTCGTTTAATTGAATGATGTCTATGAAGTCGCCTTGTTGATCTGCGTTTCACATCCACTCTAGGAACCAAAGCTGCTTCACCGTTCTCTACGACGCCGTCCCCTTCCTCAGGTAATGTCTCAATGACGTCTGGCTCTTTGTTTTCGTTACCAGTCGTTACCAATTTATGATAGAAACCTGGTTTATAAATATCTAATTGTTATTTAAAACTGCAATTGCAGGCAGTTTTTATAGTATAATTAATGACAAATGGCTTCAGTTTCTTCTTAAGAAGTACAGAATATTTGGACTATCTATTACCAAATGAATAGATTCATTGAAATTTATAGCGAGCATTATTTTAATTACCTTTGACTTTCATAAGTTCTTCGTGGGTCCCTTGTTCCACGATAGCACCTTGATCCATGCAGATAATGCGGTCAGCGTTTACAATTGTTGATAACCTATAAAACAAACGATGAGAGAAAAGGAAATTGAGAAAAAATCAATACATTCAGTGTTAGCTAAATTTTACGGTAGCTCGAATTTTGCACAAGACACATGCTTGAGTTACCGTTAAGTTTGAAACTTGTCTTACCTGTGGGAAACCATAATGGTTGTTCTACCAGCGCTTGCTCTGTCCAACGCCGCTTGTACTTGCCGCTCAGAGTGCGGGTCGAGGGCGGACGTCGCCTCGTCGAGTAGTAACACGGCCGGTTCCCGCAAAAGGGAGCGGGCTATCGCTATCCTCTGCTTCTGTCCTCCTGACAGCGACGCACCTCTTTCGCCTATTACTGTGTCATAACCCTAAAACATTAAAGAAACACTTACAGATAAGTACTTATATATTCATAGAAATTCAAAACTAGACTTGACAATAACCAACTGTTCTTTATTAGGTCACTTTTCAGTACATACAAGTTTAATTACCTTTTATCTAAATTACGCAAAACACGCCAGAAAACATTGCACCAAAAAAAAAATTCTCACATAAGTATTCAATACTCACATTAGGTAGATGAGTGATGAAGTCGTGTGCGTACGCCATCTCAGCAACTCTTTGCACCTCCTCCCTTGTCGCTTCAGGTATACCAATAGCAATATTTTCGTAAATCGTACCGCGGAACAGCACCGGTTCCTGACCAACGACGCCTGCAAAGTGACAAAATATACAATTGGAACAAATCACAAGGAGATTATAAAAAGTTTTTTGTGATGTCGTTCTTAGTTTTATTGTAAGAGAATAAAAAAAATGAATATACCCTTGGTGAATTTGCAATGGATATATTTTGTGTTAACGTGCATGTGAAAAATTATGTCATCTAAACAAATTAAATTGCTCATCTCTTACCTAAACTTGATCTAAGCCAGCTCAGATTTAAACTCCTTACGTTCTTTCCGTCTAATTTGACAGTCCCAAGCAGCGGGTCGTAGAGTCTCTGCAGTAATTGCAATATAGTGCTCTTGCCGCATCCAGACGAGCCTACAAGCGCAACGCATTCGCCTGCTTTAATATGCAGAGAGAATCCTTGAAGAACCTGATAAACATATTCATTCAGTATACTTATTTATTATTTATTACATTCATTAACATTTAATTCATCTCACACATTCAAGACATGAAGAACGTTATTGTCGGCGTCAGTCAAGAGCTGAGTGAATCGGTAGTTACTGAGCTAGCGCGTACCATCATTCGACTGCGTCTTTACTTAGTTTAGTTTAGTGGAATGGACAAGCGCTGGTTTATTAACAAAAAAAAATGTAGAAAAAGTTAATAAGTACCTTAACATTAGGTCGAGATGGATAGCTGAAGTTAACGTCTTCAAACTTGATGTCTCCTAAAACTCTTCGTGGCATCAGACCTCCACTATCCAGGCTGTCAATGGATGGCTCTCTATCTAACAGCTTGAATATACTGGCTGCAGCTCCCCGAGCCGCCGCAAACACTTCCGCGTGAGGCACGCAGAACGTTATAGATTGAGTTGCCATATACACGCTGAATAGAATCTACAAATAAAGTTTTAACAATTAATACTTTAGGATCTGAAGTCGTGACAGAGTGAGAGGGATGCACTTCAGTATAGTTGTTTCAGTGGCCATAACGAGTACCTTTAATTCAAATAACTCACACTGAACACAACTCCAACAAGATACTTCCTCTCGTCGGTAGGTTTTTCCCAGTCGATGAGGATCAGACGGGCTCCATACGTCAGACCTATCGCATTCAACGAGTACGTAAGTACCCAATTGAACCCAGTACCCAAGCCAGTGTACAAACCCCTTTTGCGCCCATAGCGTTCCGCGGGCTCCAGTAAACGACGATATCTGTAAAAAACAAGAGTCATAAATACTGCAATAATTAAAATAAAGATAACACATTCATTTTCTTCGGATAACATGAATTAATGAGGTTTAGTGGCCGTATTCAATATGGGTTTTAAATTATTTTTTACTAGCTTCCGATTGCGACTCCGTCTGCGTGGAATTAAAAAAAAAGCAAAAAGAGATGGCCTATGTGCTCTATCAGACTGTCTTCTACGTCTTTGCCAAATCCCATCGAGATCCGTTCAGCAGTCTACAAACTCTAACAAACATCCATCTATCCATCTAAACATTCGAATTTATAATATTAAGTAAGATAGTTTAAAATCCCTCCTCATTCTAAAGGCTAATTAAATAACGTAATGCGCATCAAATCGATTAATTGAACAACCGATGGAGGAGTTTTGAGACGATCGTTTAGGAAGAAAAAACAAGATAACGAATATTAAAAATAATTTTATTCCAACTGTGTGGATTAGAAAACTGTATTAGTTTGAAACAAATACAGACGCAGAATTGCTTAATAATTAGCAAATATTTACTAAATGTATAACAATTCCTCTCTTGACAATGAAGATAATAAGATAACGTACTGAAGTTTTTAGTAAAGGCATCATACTATGAATAAAGATTATAGTACATGCACAGTGTGATTTAGATAAGAGTAAATTAGAATTTATCCCATTGTTTTTTTAATTCTAATTCGTGACACACTGTCAAATTGTACGCCAAAACATTTTAACAAAAATCATAAAAATGTCATCGAAAAATGTAACAAAAGTCTTAAAACCATTTATTATTTCGTTTTTATCTTTTTACATCCAAATTCATAAAACCATTTTTAAATTGTCATCGTGTAATAAAAGTTATACTTTTGTATTACACAATTCAAAATCAATTGTAGTAGTAATCAAGTATCCGAAAATATTGCGAAACGATTCAAATGAAAATAAATGCTTACGATTGAGATCTAAATGAACGTGTCAGTTAATTTGTTGATTTAGCGCGAGCATTTCACAACTTGCAAAAGTGCAATGACCTCTGTACGCTTTCTTTGGAATTAGTCGGATACTTCATTACTACTGACACTGCTGGATATAAAGATTATTGCCATTCTCACTATTGTAATCCTGTTACGTGAAAAATGACTGAAACCTTAAAGTTATTTGGTAAATAAAATACGCCAGGTATCTATCTATCTATACTATTATGATAAAGCGTAAACACACACTTCTTTGTTGCCGAAAATGTCAGCAATTACAGCATGTTTTTGAATAATTCCTTTTTTAATAAAACGCCCTACACTTACGTCACGCTTTAGGCTATATACTTTCACGCCTATAAACTTAGAGGGTAAATATTTTGGATAAAACCCCTAATATGGGGTAAACCATAAGTTGCTACCAACATTAAGGAAACAAGATTGCTAAGGTTTGTCACGTCGTGTCAGTTTGACATTTGCTATTGATAATTTGACAAATGTAAACAATAAAATAAAATTTTCATAATTTCATGCGGATGAAGCCGCACTGGAACAGCTAGGTCAATTATAAGAGTAAATAAGAAAACTACACTTTTTTTTAAGACTGTCACGATGTGATCTTATCATATCTGATGCAAATAGCTATTTAACAATAATCTTACTCACAGATGTGTGGTGCAATACATTCTACAAGCTGATTAAATAAGAACAAAATTACCTCTCAACTTCCTTGGTTTCTCCGCCAAATGCTACAATAGTTCTTACAGATTTTAACACCTCTTCTGCTTGCTTCCCAGCCTGACTGTAGGCGTTCATCTCTCTAATGGATGACTTCGTTTGATACTGTACACAAATAATAATAATAAAGATTATTGTAAACTTTGTTATTACAACACCAATATCCCTTTGACTCCTTAACCAGGAAAACCTGCTTTTAAGGAGCCAATGCCTTCCCTTTCAAGTATATTTTATAACAAAAAAAAAGAATCAAAGTCATTTATATAGAATTAAACTATTAGAAGCTAATTAATTTATTATTATTTAAATGGTAATTTAATTTAAACCCAATTTCGACACGTATTTAACTAAATATTGTCCCGTTTTGAAGTTACATGTTCTTGATCTTCATTTGTCAAGTTACTTACGTTTGATAAAATTATCGAAGCGGTAATAGAGAATGGTACAACAGTAATGCAGGCCAATGTTAATTCCCATCCCATTGGGAATGATTGGCAGAGACAGAGGATGGCCGTGCCTGCAAGATTGGCGACAACACCGAGCTTCTCACCCATACCTTCCTTTAGTTTCATCATGTTTCTGGCAACAAAGACAATATCCGTGAATAATTTAAAGTGTTCTAAGATCACCAATTTACTATTTATATATCAGAGTATATGATGAAAGGCATGAGATATAGTAATAGCGTTTGATAATGGAGGAGATATCACTTCAAGTTCTATAGTCGTAAAGTAGAAGCACTGTTTATGCGCTTTGTATAAACAAATATGATTAGTATCTCACTACCGCTTTTTAAAATTTACTCCCCTCTTTTGACATAAATTTTGTTCATCTACACATTATCTACAACTCATCCTTGTGTCAGTAGCAAAAAGTGGGCCTGCCGGCATGACAGTTTGAAATAAATTTTAATTATAACTTACTCTGACATCTTCGATGCTAAGTTGAACTCGGAGTCAGTGTCGAACCATGACATGTCTTGTCTGAGTACCGCCTCCAAGAACAGCAAGCGTATTCTTGTTATCTGATGGAATGTAAAATAATTTTAGATTACATGTTACTATTTATGGAAAACTTTATCATATACCAGTATTGCCAGTAATGTAATAGGTTAGAAGAGAAGTAACAATTCCCCTTTTCCACTATGATCTTCAAACATTTATATAGGTCGATGTATAGGTATTGTCTTCGATGGACCGATTATATGAGGTTTTAATGTAAAGTTTATTTATTTAACCTACGCGTGTTAGAAAAGTAAAGTTAATAAAACGTAGACATGGATATAATTAACAATCTGAATTATGAATTATTTGTTTGCTTGTAAATCGAAGCGACCGTCGGGACAATACGTCGCAAGGTCATTAATTCATACAATTACTTTGACGCTGGAGCGAAAATTCTATAACATTGCCGTTCATGTTTACTATCAAATAATAACTAATATGTTTTTTTTTATAATTTATCAATCAATTGATTGATAAATAACGATATATTGTATCCAATAACTACTTTGTTAACAGTAATTTTTGTATAATATCTTTGTTAGACATGTTTTTATTTGATATAAGCCAATACTTTTAATTCTTAAAGAATGTGTCTACAAACTTGTCGTAATGCACTCCAACCGAGAAGACCAACGGAAAGGACGCAGAATATAAGTGAGATGCCGATAGAGACAAACATCCCAATGCACATCGCCTTTGCATCTTCCACCAGTGCTTCCATATTTTCTTCATGTGATGCGTTAAACCTGATTAAGAAAATAGATAAAAAATAACAGTAGATAATGTCTTTTTTTGCAATACAACTGGCCGATTCGGCAGGTACAATACAGTTCAACATGTTTGGTTGCAAATGCCTATACGTAGAAATCAAATAACGTCATTTAGTATACTTGCTCGAATCTCTTGTAAAAAAAATCTTACAGTCTCCTCCCGCCACCAAACAATGTTGTCAGTGGTAGATAGCTGGAGAGTTGGTCTTGGTTGGCTGTCCTTTCAACGAATGATGTGCTAAGCTCGCCGAACTGAACAAGGTTGTAGCACACGCCTCCGCCGCTTAGTAGACCCAGCAGGATGCCGATGATAGTCGCCAATGTCTCCGTGCAAGTCGCATAACGAAACTAAGGAGAAATAACTCCTTTAGTCATCGTCATCATGTTAATGCATTGCTGGACATATCTAATATCACTGGTGGTCACACTGGTCAAATCAATGGTGAAAATGATTATAAAAATAATAAAAATTCTTTTAATAGCTTCAGTGTCTTTTGCGTACAGTAATAAATAAAAGAATTTTGTAAACCCTAGTTCCTGACCGTAGACTTCCATTGGCAAAACATATGTGTAAATACTCTTGTTCTTTTTGAAAACAGATAATAAACAATGTGTTTTTGTGAAGTAAAGTTGTCGTCGTGGTCAGCTGTCAGAAGTGTCAGTAAGGCTAGCGTGTTGGTATAAGTCGTTTTAGTAATTCAGTCATTGAAGGCTTTTTCATTAGTAGATTAATTGTTGCACGCAATGTTTTAGTACTCATTGTTCCTAATCTTTCATTTAATGATACGTTAACTAACGTGGTTCAGAAATTTCAATGCATTTATTTAATTATAGTTTTACTAACTACTAATATCCACTTAATACGATTGATTTTCGAGTCAAGAATACGTTATCTTTTGTTTTAAATTGTTTGAATATATACGTTACGATGTCATTTGATCCTGATTTTTTTTTTCATATTTTTTTGTAGCTAAAAAATGCTTTATGTAAATGTGTGCATGTTTATAATGAAATACTTACTATTTGAAAGTAAGACAATTTATATTCCGGTTCCGGGGTTGGTCTGTAAAGAAAATTAAACGTTATTTAACCAAACATATAACTGAATTCCGCTGTTTAAATATACTTACGATATAAATACGATATCACATTTATAGAGTATATTCTATTCAAGGATACAATTATTGCGTTTTGAAAAATTCTTCTTAAATTTCTCGGTCACTGAAATGTCACATGATGCGTTGTTTCGAAAAAATTATTCATATTCTGTATTTTGTTGTGTAAGTAAATATTAATCAAAAGTGCTTGTAAAATAATAAAGAGATCACCAATGTACTATTATAGGAACACAGAAGATATTGTAATTCCTCTGATTCTTTGTGAAAAGTAGAACACAGGTTGTCCACTGTTTCCATAATATGTTACGAGCAAATCATTTAGCGACAAACATTTGCGCGTACAAAGCACTTGGTCTTGATTAACTTTTCGTATCCAATGAAAGGAAGCAATTGATATGATTGGCGGAGGTCAACTATGTTGTGCCGAGTCGTCATAAAACCATAAAGTACATAGATATCATTAATGCAGTCTTCAATATTCTGTTCGTAACAACGATTAAATGAACGGTATTCATTGACAACGATAAAACTGGCAATTAATTGGATTAACATTGACCTTCCGCATTTCTGATTCTTAACGTTTTCGATAACAGAACAATATTTCGATATGATGATTATTAATCAATGTTAAAGTACTCCTGTGACTAAATGATTGCACAACTGTTATGCGAAAATTCAACTGTTCAGTTGCAAAATTAAAAATCGAATAGTGTGCGCATCTCTAGGAATCCAAGCAAGACAAAACAGTTGTAATATACTATAGTTTAGCCTGAGATGAGCGCATTTAGTGTAATGCAATTATGGGGACCACCTTGATGTGTCCAGGATTATTATATTTATTAATACTTATTTGTAGAATTGCATTTCATTCGTACGTTTGTTTCAATTGAAAACGACATAAATACATTTTCAAACACCTTTTGCGCCGACCCTACGGGAATAGGATAAGGAGAAAGATGATGATGACATTTTGCATTTTGTTTTATTATTCATCCAATTTAAGTTATTTCATTTAGTTATACGTAAAATTCCCTTGGATTTGGTAATTAAAAAAATTGGGCTAACTGTATAAGTTACTGTAAAGTCCCGAACTCCGGTGAATCTAAAAACTTACCAGAAACGCATACGATTTACCTACTTGTTATGGTAAAAATCAGAACATTTATATAGTTATTGTCCATTTGGAGCATTTCCTACCACTTGGTGAAATATAAGATTTTCTCTAAACGCTTGGGGTACAAGTAGCCGAACAACATTTTCTTTCAAAGTTAATGTTTTAATTAATTTAAGAAACGATTTAATTCCAAAAGCTATTATATATTTAAAAAGCTTTTATCGAGAAATCCAAGTACCTAAATGAGAACATGTATACACAAAAAACATATTCTTTTGGACCTTCATACCAAATGTAGTTTGTGAATACCTTTATCGGTAATTCTTAAAATTGACCGTAGTTATTGTTTTACTGTAACATATACATAATAACAAACACAAATTGATTCATCGAAGTATATTCTATCAGTAACAAATTAATTACTTGTCAAGTGGTGTTTTGAAAACCTTATCTGTTAGCCGACTTAGGAAGTGCTGTTTTGTTCAATTAAACGTTTATATTGTTACATAATGTCAATCATACTAATAAATGTGGAAGTTTAGATGGATGGATGTTTGTTAGAGTTTGTAGCTTAAACGGCTGAACAGATTTCGATGAAATTTGGTACAGATGTAGAGAATAGTCTTGAACACATAGCCTACTCATTTTTTTTTAAATTCCACGTAGACGGAGTCGCGTGCGAAAGCTAGTAATTCAATAAAACATTAAAACTGATTAGATTGAAATGACGGTATTGAGTGAAAAGGATATGTGTTAAAAGATATTGAATTTATGAAAATGGGAGTTGTTGATGTAATATTTAAAAGGATGGTGTTATGAAAAGGAAACGAAAAGGTGAAATTTCTCGTCGCCAAATCATTCAGTCAAAAAACGTTCATTCGATTTAAATGAAATAACTAATTACTAAATAACATTTTCACAGAAAAAAAAAATTATTGCTAAACTACTTCATAAAACTCTAAACAAAATCTTTGTACCATTTTAAAGAAATTGTGCGAACGAATGAACGTGAAATTCATAGTTACAAATGGACAATATCTGCATTATAAATATTATTTTTAATAAAAAAAAGTACGACATAATTTTGAGCAAAAGTCGACTTGATCACTAGTAATGAACATATACTTTCATCTGTGCAATAAACATTTCCTCGATTAGGTTAAATTTTTTCACTGAAATTTCGCATGCAAAACGCTAAGCAAGTAATTAAATTACAGATAATAAATATATCTATATAAATACAACGCTACTGAAACTGTAAAATAATAAGAATATTCGCTATTACTATAATTAAAGTATACTTACTCCTTTTTTTTCTTTATCCCCATGACTGCAAGTGACAAACTGTATTCTTCGTATATTATTAATATCTATTTGTTACTGTATGAGGTTCACACGACTGCGTTGCGCGACAGCCGTTTTCTGTAAGGCTCGGCGCGGTTTCACGCATTTTTATATATACGATTGCTTGCGTTTAAAACTTACTGTCAGCTGAAATTGATTCTAGGCCGAGTACTAGGGACGAGATAAATATTGTATATCCGATTCTTTCATATTGAAATAATAAAAGTATGTGTTTTAAAAATTCACTCGTTTGTTACCTGCCTGCTGGTGACAGATATGGGTTATGTGATTTACTAATCGGTTCCCCAGCTACGTTTACCCATTCGTTAGTGTTTTTGTTTCAATATATTCATGAAATGCGTTTCCGAACTACGTGATTTGAGTTTCACTTACTTGAAACACAGGTCAACTTATGAATCAATTGATAATAATGAAATTCAGTGGAATCTTCAAAAGCCAGCATAAAACCCTTAAAAGAAACATCAACCACAGAAACTAAGACGATATATGTAATTATAAACAACGAGAATATTAATTGATCTCTTCTACGGTATGTCGCATATTCCTCCTCCCCTCCCTTGTTTACGGTCTAATCGGTGCAATCAACAGAAGTGTTGATCACTCGGTCTTGCAGCCTTTCAACGTTGTCATAAAATATGGTTATTAGATCGGACAATACATTTAAACGACGCCACGCTGAGTATCAGACTTATAATTTTATCTCTACTTCTAATAACATGCAAAATGATAAAGGGAACGTTGTTATATCAGCGGAAATTTTAAAAGTGAAATTGCAAGGTAACGTTATGCTGTGGAAGTAAAAAAAATGTAGTACAGTTGAAAATAATTCACGTCTTAAATGAAATTAATTCGTCATAGTATACGCTCTAAACGTGTAGGTACGATATGAAATGGATTGATAACACTCGTACTTCCATACACTCACATACATATGTTAGTATGCAGATATATAATATAAAAATTATATATCAAATAAACTGACCCCTGGTGTTGGTTATTACAATAAAACGGTGCAAGCCTCAAGCTTTATCTTGAGTCACTCATTCATAGAACCACTCATTGTAATTTATCACTAGATATTTTGAAACATTATGCAATTATCATATAAGTATTATGATTGCAACCAACCAATTCCTAAGGAATAAGACACAAGGACGATAGAAGATTCTGGAATGAGCCTTATTCGACTATTTGCCTTAATCAAACGCAAATTCGTTTAAGACATGATCAAATAAACATATTACTTTTCACAATAAACTAAACTAACCAAAGGGTAACATTTATATATACACATAACATATTACAAAGATTTGTTTTGTTTGAATGCGTTTTATAAATTTGAGTCATCGTATGTACGCAGCGCTTATGAACGCCATATCAATTACATAATGCGCACAATCTTCAGTCTTTTAATCTCCATCAAGAAAATTCTTTCACTACACAATAGTGGAGTAAAACGTGATTATTGACATGATAAGCAGTAAAGGATCTGTAAATGATAAGCTGCAAGCAAATAGGATCTTTGTTCAGTGATTTGTATGAAGTGAGCGCACGCGTTTGATTTAAAAGGAAACACGCGCAAAACCTAGTGAACATTTTATATACGTCATCGACAAATTGTAAACTCTACCTATTTGTTAATTGCCTAGGCCAGTGATCGGTAAAATTATCAGTCAAAATGGCAAATATTTACATTGCAACAATTTGAAAAAAGAATTGGGAGGGAAATGAGTAATAAGATTTTCTAAACATGTTTCAGCAGTGAAAACTCTAAGAGGGAAATAATGCTAGAGAATAACGTGCTGATGTACAATAAAGTGGCAATTGACTCGCACTGACTTGCGTCCTCCTTGTTATTCGCAGCGTCTAATTCAGACCATAAACATAATATAGTATACTAGTTGTTGCAAGCGATTTTGTCCGCGCAGTATTAAAAGACATGGTATCTCTCGGGAAACGAGTATTTTTTTTAAATGTATCCTAAGTGTTATTGCAGACTTTACTGTATATTAATGCCAAATATCAATAAAATATATTGAACTGTTGCAGAATTATCGAACTTGAAATAACAAAATATATGCATCCCGCGGGAACAGTCTTTTTTTGGGACCAAAGTAACCTATGCGTTCTTCTATACTATCATCGACACAAAAATTTATCGAGATCCGTTCAGCAGTTTAGGCCACAAACTCTAACAAACATTCATCAATCTAAATATTCACATTTATAATTGTCATCCACTTGCCCTTATCCCTTATGGAGGGTCGGCACAGTATGTGCTGCTCTTCCATACATCTCTATCAGCCGTCATATCTGAAACCACTCGTTTCTTAAGCATATCCTCTTTCACACAATCCATCCATACTTTCTTCGGTCTTCCTCTTCCTTTGTAGCCATCCACATTCAATCTTAACACTTTCTGGTTTATGTCCCCATCATTTCGTCGCATTCACATTTATAATTGTACTATTATCAATTTATATTGAACATTTTAGTCCTTACATGTAATACAGTAGTAATAGGTCAATCGCAACTCGGAAAAAGCTGCCTACATAGTATTACAATAACACAGTTCTGAAGCGATTTTTTTAGTTTTATCTTATGAGGAATCTATATTGTCAAAATCTCATCCAGCGTTTAATTGTCACTTGAAATAGAAGGGGTTAAAACCGTCTACCACACACAAAGGTGTCTGGAAACAGAGACGAACTGCATTCAAAGTACTAAGGAGTGTGAAAATCATACTAATATTATAAATGTGAAAGTTTAGGTTTGTAGCCTAAACGGCTTAACGGATTTGAATGAAATATTTTATAGATGTAGAGGATAGTCTGGAATAACACATAGGCTATTCAATTTTGTTTCTTTCAATACCAGGTGGACAGAGTCGCAGACGAAAATTAGTATATAGATATATTTGTAAACCAGTACGATTTAGCACCCTACAAGAAGTGACAGTACCATTTCCCCAAAAGCCTACGCTTCTGCAGTTCTTCTGGTATTCATGGGCGTTGTTGATCATACCTTGCTCCCGCCGTTCGTTTGAAAATAATATTACGTCTCTTTTACAAACTACTATATCCTTTACTACGAGTACTACCTCTTGTCTAGTACGAATACTAGTTTAAATTGTTCCGAATCGTATTACTTGCGTATATAAGCGATAATAAAAATTTAAGCGTAATATATTCCAATGCCAACTAAATAGCATGTATGTCGTTTGTGTCAAATGATCGCGGATGTGTTGTTGCCATCGAATAATTGCTTGATATTTGTCCTTCAATACTTTTTAATATAGACATCGGAATCAATGAGTGCTAGTTTATTCCTTAATCAATCGACACATACATAGTACACTAGAATGGAACGTATTTATCAAATAAAAAACTAAAGACTATTCATACTTATAGTTAATTTCGCGTTTGTAACTCCGGTTTAATAAGCGAGTATAGCCGTTTTTGCTTTAAGAGACTCATCATCCTCATCTTCTCCTTATCCTACTCTCGTAACTGCGTAACAGGTTTTTGTCGTCCACATGACTCTATTATACGTCATCTCAGTCATCACTTCCTTGATCATGTCACCTTGCACGCAATCCATCCACCTCTTTGTAGGTCTACCTCTACCGGTGTACCCTTCTACACTCATAACTAACATTCTCCTTGTAACATGCGATTCTTCCTTCCTAAACATGCCCATACCATGTTATCCTTTTACTCCTTACTTCTCTACTACTGGGGCTGCTCTCTACTTTACTTTAAGAAACTATCATACTTACTAACTACTACATAAATAACTTAACAGTTATTGTTAACAAAATCATATAGTAGTTAAAAAGATAGTTCCGTAAATAAGGGATCAATTAACGGAAACTATGCTTTTATCTTAATCTTTTTTTTAAGATAACTTAGTTTAAGGTTGATATTTGTAATAAAACAATCTTCAATTAGTAACTAATCTATGTTTTTAGTAAATATATGCAGTTAAAGTTTTTCAGTTATCAAAAACATCACACTATAATACGTTGCAGAATGTATTTGCTAACGTACAATTTTAACAGATAACGTAAATTTAAAGTACAAAACATAATTTCCATTTCTAAATTTAACTTACTCGGCAGTACATTGAACTTAAAATAGGTGACAGGCTTAAATGCGTGATTTACTTTTATATTGCAAGATGACAGAAAATCCGCATCACAGAATAATATTAATGTTGTTACAGGGATGTTATCAACTTATGTACGTCCACATCGAGAGGCTAAGAGCATATTTTAAGTTAGAAGTAACTAGGCCTTAGAGCGCACACCTTTGACTAAACTATCGCACTTCTTTTCTGCAATTGGCGATTGTCTTTTTATTTTAACATAAGGTGGCAAATGAGCAAGCGGCCACCCGTAATCGCCAAAATGGCGAAGTGACCGCTGCCCTTAGACATCAGCAATTGCAGATGCGTTGCCTACCCTTATCCGACGAAGGAGAAGACGCACATAAATAGGATATTTCCACTTCCTATGCATCTCCTCTACCGTCAAATCCACTTCCCGTTCCCATCCTCTCCTTATAAGAAAAGGGTAGTAAAGAGAAATGGACTTAAATTAGGTCTCCGGCACTACACTCATCAGACGAAACACGGAATTGCTTCCATTTCACGCCTGTCTTCTGTGTGGTCGTGGTATTTATTACACCGAGCGTGCCGGCCCTGCAGTGCTAAGATGTCAAAGCGGGCACTACCACTGTAAGTCGATTGTCGATTGTTTCGCAGCCAATTCAACTGTTTAGTTGCACAACTAAAAATCGAGGAGTGTGCCCACCTCCGTATAAGCTCATAGGAATCAAAGCGTGACTAAACAGTTGTGTGACAGTTTAGTTGTGCGCTTAGTTAACCACACCAGTCCATTGTGGGTTACTTGACTTCACACATCTTTGTTTTACAGATATGTGCAGATTGACTGACAATGTTTTTCTTCACCATAAGCACTTCGGACAAATACATTCTAAAATAGAAAAGATTAATTAAGCTAAATCTCTAGGACCAGATTCAAACCTATCTGGTACTAGAGATTTAGCTTAACTCCTAAGCTACTGACCCTTCTAACATATGGTATATAATCGCTTTACTATTTACGTATTTGAGATGAATGGACTATATTATAAAGCAGTTTTCAAGCAAATAGATAAATATGTGGTTAAAATAAATAAGACGATAACAGAAATTACAAGCACGAAATTATCTTTGCCAGACAAATTATGACTAATATTAGCTTAATTTTTCTTGTTTTTTATATTCAAGTTCGCTGAACTATCTCGGCATGGTGCACTAACAATAAACTACATAAACAATAATTCATCACTAGCTCACTATTAATTATAACGTCTGGTAAATTATGTACATATGAAAATTCGAAAATGACATTGGTACATGGCGGGATTCGAACCCAAGACCTGAACCACCGACGCATGTAAAACAATAGTTAGTTACTAAAATTACAGTTTAATATTGAGATAACTAGGCAAGTTGTGTTAAAGAGGCGCTTGGTCATTATGATTTCAAATACCATATGCCTATTCAAAGAATTATTGCTGAATTATCCATGCTAATATAAATCTGAAAATATTTATTTGAATACGCTAATGCCAAGAAATACCATCGGTTTTAAAGAAAAAATTATTGCGTAAGAAGTTAAAACAAAAAACGTAGCGCCTGCTGAATTTGTATCAATTTTGTATTCGTAATATTTGCTGTAATATTTTATCAAGTGACATGAAAATCGAAGGCTATGTATTTGGTTTTTAAAAATCATTGCTATTTAGTTTTGTATTACTAGTTGTCGCCGGTGACTCCGCCTGCTAGGATAAAATAAATTAAATCGTAGCCTTTGCATTCTTCCACTTATGCCTATGCATTCTTACACATACCATTTACCAAATTTTATTCACAAACGAGTACATGTAGTTACGTGGTAACAAATGTATATGATTAAAAAGTAACATAAACAAACTTTGAGGTAAATGAAGTATCTCTTCTTCCAAGCTTTTAGAATTTATTTCAAATTTCAATTTCTTTAATCTAAACAGAAATGGTAAACATTTTTTATATAAATAAAAATAAATCATACACAAGCAAATACCAATTTACTAAATAAATCAGCATATAAATGGTATAGAAAGGAGTCTTGAACGTTATTTAAACGTTCATATAAAAAAATTCTTCGCTAGCAATGCGTATTGCGGAGCAGGCGGGTAAAGAAAAACTGACCCGGCCGGTGAATCGACGATCAGTGAAAGCCGTCCGAGCCAGACCAGACAAGCAGACACCAAACATTCAAGACATCGACTGGATAGCTACACTTACATTACATATATACGTTAGAACAAACAGTAATCCTCCTCTATATTACAATAAACGTACCATTTTAAGCTCTACACCAATTCACTTAAGCATTAAAGTTAAATGCAATTATTTTAAAAGATAAAATAAACAATTTGCAATGGTGTTTTCACTTAACGAGCTAACTGTGATAAAAACGATTATTGATGTTGGAAAATGATTGAGATATTCAATAATCGCCGATTACTTTTTGTTACAGTTACATACAATGCTTTGACCATGTTTTAACATTTTTAGAATTCATTTAATTTTTATAACATTAATACAAGCAAAAACGAATTGAATATCTTCTTTTGGAAGTCAGTTAAAAATAAATGAATTTGATGGTAATCTTTTTACTGAATATATCTTACTAATATTATAAATGCGAAAGTTTAGATGGATGGATGGATGTTTGTTAGAGTTTGGAGCCTAAATGGCTGAACGGATTTGGATGAAATTTGGCATAGATGTAGAGGATAGTCTGGAAGAACTCATAGGCTACCTTCTTTTGTTTTTATTAATACCACGCGGACGGAGTCGCAGGCGGAAGCTAGTCTTTTATAATTTACGACGCCTATATCATGTTTAGGTTTATAGTAATTATTGATTTTTATTTGATTAATATAGTTAGGAAATAGCGTAATACGTTTTCGGTGATCGATCCCTAATTCGATATTAATACGACATTATCTTTGGTATAATCATACTATTGTATTGTAAATGAAAAAGTCTAGATGGATGGATGTTTGTTAGAGTTTTTAGCCAAAACAACTGAACGGATTTCGGTAAAATTTGGTATAGATGTACAGGATAGTCTTGGAGAACACAAAGGCTACTTACTTTGGTTTTTTTTTATTCCACGCCGACGGACTCAGTTTTTTCAGTCAGTCTTTGAAGGCAAAAGTTATCCATCTTGCAGTTAATTATCACGATCTTCAAATTCTACTACGTACAACTATGTCCTTCTGATTCTCTTTAGAAAACAGAAAATATATTTGTACACAAATATTTCAGAAGGAAATGTGGCAAGACGTGCATAATGCTATAGTGTTGAGTACGATATTGAAATTTATTTGAAAACTTTTTGAAGCAAAGCAACGCATCTACAGAATCGAATAAATTACGTGGACGTATCGGTTGGTTGCCAACTAAATTAATTACAACAGTTACTATAATTGTAACTAGCGATATTAATTTATACAACTCCACTAGAGATCTCGTCAGGAATGCGCGCGAATCATCAATTCTTCTAATGACATTGACAGCTGTCAGAGATGTAACGTTTATGCCAATAATCTAGTGTTTGCGTATTACAGCGCGGTACTAATTTTCTTCTTAAAAGTAATTACATTCTTATTAGAAAATGAAATAATTGAATATGTTCCGATTAAGCCTAATCTTTTAAAAAAAGACTAATCTTTTAAAAACAATATTCAAGAAGATTGTTTCTCAAATAACATATCGACGGGTGAAAGGCTATTTGTTTTAACCGGCATTTTAGGCGATATTGATTTTATATATATTCAGAATCAGTGAATTTTTCTGCGTTGTCTGGATCGGGTTTCATAAAGATCAGAGCACTTTTGTGGCGCTTGAACAATCAAAATGTAGGTGTCATTTTTAAGTAGTCATGTTTGAAGCGCTAAAAAATTCAGCAGTTATTAATAGTTAGCGGATTGAATGAAGTAAACAGAATAACAGTAATTTTCTTCTGAAAATCTTTCAATTGAAATTGGTTACAGGATTTGCTTTTATGTTTTTTTTTTTCTAAAAAGTTTAAATAGCTCTCCTGAACATTTAACCTAATTGCGCTTTAAAAAAATAACCTTCCACCCATCGATGCAGGAATTTTCTCAATGTAGATGTTTCTATGGTTGTAAATCAATGAATCCCGGCTTGTGGTTGCGAGCGGGAACGAGCCCTCGTTATCAGGCGCGCTGGAGGCTAATCACTTTCATTGCAACCCCGCGCAGAGGTCGGCGCGGCTATCACTGCGGCGTCTGGCCAGTCGGTCCCGCGCAGTGAGAGCGCGCACGCGTGCGCCGCTCCGCCCGCTAGCCCCCGCTAGCTCTCGCTAGCCCGACCTCGCCCGCCGCTACCGCCCGGCACTGCCGGGAATGGAGGCCTGCGCCATCACACCTGCCGAGGACCTTGTGGGCGACCAGGTAACCACAACATCTCGCCCCACGACCCCAGTGCTATCCGTGATCATCTGTGTCAAAATCACCGTAGAAAGTGCTGTTGTGAATCGAGTATTCTAAAGTAGTTCGCCGTTAATTTGTCTCGTCGTAATCTAAAGAACTTACATATATTTAATGCGGCTCATTTGTTTTATATAAGACGCCAGTGGTATTCGTTCAGGCCTGAAAGTGAGTGTTTTTTCCGCCGTCGGTGTGAGCCCTGATAAGCGGACGCCGTTTCACCGATACTAGGAAAATATCTGTGATTTTCCAATTTATGTTTAACTCACTTAAAGATAATTTAATAACTTAAACTACGTAAGTCTTTCTTACATTAAAATGTACTGTTTACTTTGATGTTTGAATAATAAATAAAAAAATAAAATAATTTGTTACTAACAGTAACAGGACATTTTTGTTCAAATACCATACAATGTTTTTTATTACAACTATTTATTAGATTTAATCAGATACTAAAAGTACTACAGATACTAAAATACATTTTATTTGTGTATTAATTACTTTTTTATTAAATTTATATTTCTTACTTTTAAAGTTTTATTTATATTCAGTTAATTTCTTAGTAAATAGTAGTAATAATTAGTTTATATATTTTATAATGTTAGTAAAAAAGTATCAATTACTTCATAACATTTTAAGCTCTTCAAAATAGGTCTAAATATGCGCTTCATAGAAAAGACATCAACGACTGAACAAACCATTCCCATTATATTGTTGGCCTTAATTATTATTAATTTGAGTACAATAATTGATAAATAAAGCTGAAACTATTTTTATTTATAACGCTTATCAAAGTAAATTATATTATATCCTAATTCAGCATTCGTTTAAACACAGAAATGTCGTAAAATTAAAATTAAATTCTTGTTTGCAAAAGCGTGAATACAACACTTAAATGAGCTTTTAACGAAAGTTGTTTGATGAACTTAAACACAGATTTTATATAAATATGTAAATGAAACAGAAGAAATGATATGATATATCTAAAAAGTGTAAACGCTAACATTTTTTTCCCGTTCCACTTTGATTTCGTATACTTCATTAACATGTTCCGTAGATAAATTAATGACTGAGAGCCGTTCAATTAATGAAAATAAGCGCATGCAGTTTTAATGTATGGCCACGAAAATGACTAAGACCAAATTTAATAATATTTTTCAAATAATTTTTAAAAATTCAACAATATATATACAGATAAAAATTGTATATGTACATAGGTATATTTAATATAAATAATAAAAGTTACAAATTTTTCGATTACTTCAACAAATTAAATAAGGTTTTCATGGCCTATTCCGCCTATAGCAGTTCGACAATTCGAGTTTTCGACGTTTCTATAATATCAATAATGAAAATACAGTTAACAAACTGGTAGAGTTAGTGATCATTTGTTGACCATAACCCACTGTCAGACCGTCTCCGATGAAACGAATTAGCATATTAGCTTTATGTGTCTTGTATGTTACCGACATATCGTGAATACCGACTGTTTATAATTTGTCTAAAAAAAATAGTAAAGGCAAAAGGCAAACGAACAATTTCATTCTCAAAACAAGGGATTATACTTCTGTATTTTGTGGCACGCGATTGACAATTTTAGTGTCAAAAATGGTCACTAACCCCCAGAAGTGAATTTTAATTTAAAATTTTAATTTTGTGACTTCATTCGTTACAATTTACTTAGGCTATTTAGAAATTACCCGCTTTTACAATCGGACGGTGACATACACATTTATGTCAGATGTATTTTACTAAAAAATTTCAATGAATATAAATTATATTCGGTTTGAGTTTCATTGTTATTGTGTGTATTTATTACGTCTTGTTCGTGTAAGACGGGTTTGAAATATAGCTTTTCCAACAATAGTAATATCTTTCACGACATTATATCAATAATATACTTGTAATATGTTTAAACGAGACAAATGTATAGCCATTATTTTATTTCATTAAAATAATAAGAAGTAAACCTATAAAACTACACATTTTATTCATATAAATCTGAAAACCTAAGACCTAAGTCTTCTTGTTTATTCCTAGATTGGTATCCCCATAGTAAGATATTGTAGAAATGATTACATTATGAATGACTACCTTTCGCCCTTATCGCCGTGCGCGTGGACTTAAAAAAACAAAATTGAGTAGCCAACGTGTTCTTGCAGACTATCCTCTACATTTAAACCAAATTTCATCGAAATCCTTTCAGAAGTTTAGGCTACAAACTCTAACAAACAACCATCCATCAATATAAACTTTCGCCTTTATAATAATAAATATGATTGTGCAGATTGTCCCGGGCGGCGGCCGTTGGGGCGCACCTCCATCCAGCGGCATCCTCGACCCCTGGTGCCAGATGCAGGTAAACAAGCAATCACACCAACTAGAAAATCAAACCAAATTCTAATCATAAAAAAGAATGAAAAAAGAACATGAAAATAACGTCATGACAAATGTAAAAACATTTCGGACATTATTCGATTTACTAAAATCTTTTTGTATCTATAGAAATTTTCATCTTACTTTAACATCATAGTACTATGTATAGTAAAAAAAAGGTATAACAAAAATATTTGCATGAACGTAATCCCTAGGAAATATTCAATTCATGACTCCAGAGAACTGACAGTCGGACACCCGCCGAATAACAATAACCATGATGTGAATCCAGCAAACTTTAAAAATACACTTCGAATTTGCCCGCTCTAATATTATACACCTTAATCCATGGAATTAAAAATCGCGTGCGTCAACCTAGACGTAATATTATGTCGGTAAATGTAGTAACTAATTTGTATGCCTCATGCTATGATGACATTGTCACGTAGCAACAACATATATATAACTATACGTATGTTATGTGACATGCTATCAATTTGATGGGTCAAATAACTATACTTTAGTTTTGCTTCTAAACACACAAGTTTAAATACAGGTGGTCCAATGTTACTTAACGGTTATGTTCGCTATTTAGAGTGAAGAATGCCAGTAATACTAAAACATAATTAACTTAATTACAGCCTTTCGTGAATTTTAACTGAAATTTATTATCTGTACTATTAAAAAAAGTCATCGCAAATTAAGGTATTAATTTAATTCGTTGTATTTAGCATTGTTATTTATTTTATTACTAGCTTTCACTCGGTCCGCGTGGAATTATAAAAAAGTGAGTAGCCCGTGTTCTTCCAGACTATCCTCTACGCCTAGGCCAAATTTCATCATTTGAAGCTACAAATATCCATCCATCTAAACCTTCGCATCTATAATATTATTAAGATAGAATTCCGCATACAGAGCCGCAATATGTACTAAGGAACTTTCTTAGTGTCGATACAGTATAAGTCTACACTACACGACTTTAAATAATCATTAAACGACTCAATAATTATGATCATTGGCGTATAAGCTTCGATTAACCTCTAATCTGTTTGTTCCTATATTTACGAGCTCATTTTACGGTTGGTGTACATTCCATTAGGCCCCGTGCTCCATGAAAGCATGAATATCGGAGATATTGGGTATATCGAAACAATTTACACGGTGCGTAACGTGTGGAGGTACCATTGTTGTTGACCGTGCTCCGTGGTAGACGTGGGAAATGACTACCAAACGATTTCAAAGCAAAAAAATCAAAGTTTTTGATAACGTGTATGGAAGGTCAATATGACTAAGAAAGATACTAATATGTATATGTATGTATTTGACATCTTCTTGACACGAAATTTATGTTAACATTCAAACTAATTTTACTGAATACGGCTTGTATTTTCATCATAATTACCATTATTATGGCATTGTTGTTAAATGATGGAGGGTACGCTAACAATGTAATCATACTAAAGAGATCTGTAGCACTTTAATCAATTTTGAGGAGTGAAATGTTATAATATTCTTTGCCGTGCTACAGTCTTCGCATCATGCTTTTTTCAACTACCAGCGCGACTAGGTTTTTAACAAAAAAATTAAACTCTTTTTTATTACCGGACACACTATGGTATAATTACTGTGTCATACAATAAAATGGGAATAGATTACCCGGCGGGTTGCCGCGTAAAATAATATTAAACGCATCATTTGAGCTTCGTTCACTGTGACAACGGCCATTGTTCCCTTGCCTAGGACTGATTTGATACCGTGAACGCTTTTTAATAGTATCGGTTAATGTATGCAGTGATCGGACGAAGTGAATTATTAAAAGTAAAAATGTAAATTAAGAATACAAATGGAAACGAAGTGATGATCAAATTGTATTTAGCTATGCACTATCCTGATTAAACATTTTAAACAGATACCTTTTGTCTTTATTAGATTTTGTTGAAAAACCGATCTGAAGATCGCAATAGCTAACTTCAATCAATCAAAATAAAAATCCCGATCCGAGCGTAGTTTTTTTTTGCATATTGTACACCAATTTTTATGATTAAATTGATTTTCGGATCGATCTCAAAGATAGAATATTGGTTTCGGTCCTAATAGTATCGGAATTAGCCTAACATTAAGTACAATGTTCGGTCCTTTTGTGCACCCTCTGTATCAATTAGCATTGCACACTTCACTGCCTTTACTCTATTGCGTAAGCGCAAACGTAAATGAGATACATTTAAGGGGGGATGGTACGCGGGACAGAGGGGGGACAGTGACAGGATTCACGGTCCAACTGACGAATACAATGATCGAACTCAATACGTGATCGATTATGTCTATACGTGTGTAGGTTTGTATGTTATTTGTGGAGGTTGACTTTATGTGTTTCGATTTTTGTTTGTATTTCATTCTTGAGGGGTTAAAAATAATGTAATCTATACTAATATAATAAAGAGGAAACGCTTTGTATTTTTGGACCGATTTTAAAAATTCTTGCCCAATTGAAAAGCTATGTCATCACTAACATAGGCTATTTTTTTTTAATTTCAAGAGGGCGAATATGAAATTATTTAATAACTGCAAGAGACAATAAAAATATACACTGTTAAAGACATTAAGTTCTATTCAAAGCGGCATTATTTTAGTTGTCCGATCAGTATGTATTTTTTAATTTTCACAAATAATACGAATATAGGCCGTAACATGCAGGCTCTATTTCTTTGAAAACTCTTATATTACACTTGTTTGCGTGTTTCTTTTCTTTCTCTACAATAATACGTCCCGTTGTACCCGTATCAAAATAATGATTTACAAAAAGGCTTGATTGTTACATTTCAATTATTGACATTTAAACACATTTTTACAATATAACGTACATTATCATAATATAATCGCTAAGCACTTACAATAATTGTTATATGCATTTCGAGTACATACCTAACATATTTGTGTTCATTGATAATGCAAGAATCCGCGAACACGTATCAGCATGACCAAACAAAGATTTAGCTGTATGTAGTAATGCGTAAGTGTGTCGTATACTTATCGTCACGTATCAATAAGCAAACTGAAAATATCGCGCTTACTTAGAATATCTGCCCACTTACCGGGCTGTGGACTCAACCGACGTATTTGTTCTTATGACCGTGTTACTCATTTAATGAACATGTAAATATTTTTACCTATGAATATTGCCAACGTTAAAGTGTGCAGCGAAAAGTTACCGTGAAGTTACTCTCTTTCTCAAACGATTGCTACTTCTGTTTGAATCTTCTTGATGTGTCCGCTACACGTTTGCTTTCTCTTTAAAAACTTCAGTAACATGAACTTTTAATCCTGTAATAATCAGAATATAAAGATATAAAATCCACATTTGAGTAAATTTATCTTTACACCAATGTCGTTGTAATTTGAGATGTTTGTCACTTCTTAAACTGAGAAACATAAATCCATATAATATATGGTACTATGTTGAACTCGAACACAGGTTTAGATTACGAATTATAATATGAAAAAGAATTTCTCTACTGACAAATTAAATTTCTTTTAACAAATATATTAGGAAACTTACGTTTTAAGGTATATCAATAAAATTCTAATTAGAATGCCATGACGATATATAAATAACATTATACCGATATGTCGAATATATTTGTGATTACAACTTGTAGTGGTCAGGTGGGCGACAAATACATCGGTGTAGCAAAAAAGCAACCGCAAACATTTGTAGGTCGCGTTGCGCCATTTCCTTTACCCGAGCTGCGAACATTAAAAAAACACCATATGCTTTTATCGCTTTAATATTTGGTACAGATAAGGATTCGAAAAGTTGAAAATTAACATTAACAATCTTAACTAAGTATTTCAAACATTTCAATGTGTTGGACTATTATTTTGTATACAAAGTTCGTGTTGGACATGTATAAAGAATGTTGCAATAATGTTATTCCAAAACTTTATTTTCTAGTAACTTGTGTTGAATTTAAATAAATAAAAAAAGTAGAAAACTTTATTATTGCTATCCAAAGAAAACAGCGTTACGCAAAATAAGAAAGATTTATGAAAATTAGTAACAGATGGCAAAAGGGGGAGGCTCAGCTTAACCGATACGGGTTGAGATCCAGTGTCGATCTGGTTTTCAGCAACCCCCCCTTCCCAAGATGTAAAAGGGAGAGTAGATCGGAGGTCGGCTTAATGTAAATGTATCTAAATACACAATTAGTCTGATAGTGTATGTCCCTGTCACAGAGTCATATTACATATCTTTCTAGCCATATCCAAGGAAAACCTAAAGACTGCGCAGATCTTAAAATCGATAGCTTCCAAAAAATATTGACTATTGGACCTTTTCTTATAGACATACCAAAAAAGCTATTTAGATTTCATATATGAACATGAATCTTCGCAAAGTTATATCTTAACTTAATAGATAAGTTGATGTTACGTTAGTACGCGTTTTTAACCCGAATTTCTGCACGTATGTATAGCGTACGGCCGCGGCCCGTGTTCTGTAGGTGAGTCACTCCAACATAACAGCCCCACAATGTTTAAATCTTGGTTTAGATTGAAATAGGTTTTTTATTAAAGCAAAGACTATAACCAGCCAGTGTTAATAATTTAAAGATCCTTAATTGCTTTGTGATGCTACGATTTACATGAAATAGCAAACATTACGAAATGTAAGTGATTACGAATCAGGACATTATAGGAAAATAAGCTTTTTTGCAAACCTTCCCAATATTTTTCTATCATGTATGTTTATAAACACAAGGGCTTAAGTATTTTTTTCGGTCGTGGTGTAAACGTTGAAGAAAATCATTATATATTTATATGTATAAATATCTATTTTTTCTTCTTTTACGTAAGTTATTCCAATGAAGAAACACAAATCACATGCATAAGTTAGTCTATAACAAATCGTAAACGATCCTAAAGTATCAAATTATTTCTGGCTATACAACAAATTCTGTTGAGTACTGCAAATCTAGGTTAGGGCGC